AAATCAAAGACTCAATACCCTTCACAATAGCAACAAGGAAAATAAAGTACCTAGGAATGTACTTAACTAAGGAGGTAAAAGACCTCTAAGGGAAAACTATGAAACACTGAGGAAGGAAATAGCAGAGGAGGTAAACAGATGGAAATCCATACCATGCTCGTGGGTTGGCAGACTCAACATTGTTAAAATGTCTATACTACCCAAAGTGAGCTATACATTCAATCCAGTCCCTATTAAAATATCAACATCATTTTTTCAGATATAGAAAAAATAATTATTAGCTTCGTTTGGAACCAGTGAAGACCCCATATATCAAAAGCAATTCTAGGCAATAAAAACAAAATGGGATGTATCAATATGCCAGATTTCAAAATATACTACAAAGCTGTAGTTATTAATTCAGTTTAGTATTAGCACAAAAATAGGAATATTGACCAGTGGAACAGAAATAGAACCCTGACATAAAACCATCCTCATATAGCCATCTATCTTTGACAAAAATCCTTATTCAATAAATGGTGCTGGGAAAACTGGATAGCCACATGTAGAAGGCTGAAGCATGATCCACACATTTCACCTCTCACAAAAAACAACTCACACTGGGTAACAGACTTAAACCTAAGGTATGAAACTATTAGGATTTAGAGGAAAACATTGGAAACAATCTCCTACACATTTGCCAAGGCAAAGAATTTATGAAGAAGACCCCTAAGGCAATCACAGCAACAGCAAAAATCAATAAATGGACCTGATCAAACTAAAAAGCTTCTGCACAGTCAAAGAAACAGTCATGAGAGCAAACAGATAACCTACACAATGAGAGAAAATTTTTGCGTTCTACACATCTGATAAGGGGCTGATAAAAAGAATCTACTTAGAACTGATGAAACTCAGCAAGAAAAAATCAAACAACCCTATCAAAAAGTGGGCAAAGAACAGAAACTTTTCAAAAGAACACAGAATAATGGCTAACAAACATGAAAAAATCCTCAACATCTCTAATCATCAGGGAAATGCAAATCAAAACCACAAGAGATATCACTTATCTCCAGTAAGAATGGCCATTATCAAAAAGTTCACAAATAATAAATGTTGGTGTGGATCCAGAGATATAGGAACACTCTTACACTGCTGGTGGGACTGCAAACTAGTTCACAGTCTGTGGAAAGCAATATGGAGACACCTTAAAGCAATACAAGTAGATTTACCATTTGATCCAGCAATTCTACTACTGGGCATCTACCCAAAAGAAAAAAGGACAATCTATGAAAAAGACACCTGCACTCGAATGTTTATAGCAGCACAATTCACAATTGTAAAGCTGTGGAAACAACCCAAGTGCCCATCAGTACATGAGTGGATTAATAAAATGTGGCATATGTATACCATGGAGTACTCTTCAGCTCTAAGAAACAATGGTGATATAGCACCTCTTGCATTTCCTGGACAGAGCTGGAACCCATAGTACTAAGTGAAATATCCTGAGAATAGAAAAAAAAGCACCACATATACTCACCAGCAAATTGGTAATAACTGATCGGCACCTAAGCAGAAAGATAGGAATTACATTTGTAGGGTATTGGGCAGGTGGGAGGTTGGGATGGAGGCGGGTAGATACACACATAATGAGTGAGATGTGCACCGTCTCGGGGAGGGTCATGCTTGAAGCTCAGACTTGTGGGGGATGGGGGGAAGAACCTTATACAAACCTTTAAATTTGTACCCCTATAATATGCTGAGATATAAAAAAAAGAAAGTACAGATGAGACACGTTGTAGACAGTCACCTGTTGTTAGTTACATCTTATGTTATGGACATAAACTACTTCTCCTAGGATTTCCAGGACGCAGTGATTTGGGTATTTGTACTCTTTCAAATAAGGAATAAGAAATTTGATTACATGCACACTCGAATGAATTTAATATATATGCTTTTGGAAAGTATTTCCTATTTTTAGTGTTCGTTTTTTTTTTCACATTTTGCCTCCTTCCAGAAAGGAATTAAGGAAGCTGTATTTCCATATAAATAAATGTACTGATCAGAAACACAAATCCCTTGTCAAACCATTTATCTGGTATCTTGCTAGAAAACTGCATTTGCCACCTTGCTGGGAAGGGAGGGTGCAGCCCATGGGGAGCAAGTTGCAAGGCTGGGAATGGGCTGTGGACACGAGCCAGCCCCCAACGCCCCCAGGGGCCACTGCACAGCTCCAGGGAGACTTCAGGACTGGAGACCCAGTAGGAGTCCCCAACCCAGCCAAACTGAAAATTCCAAACCTGTTTTCTTTGAATGCTGCCCTCCCAGGATCTCATGCCCCACGGATAACTTCTCTCAAGCCCTGTTCACACTGAACTTCCTCTGTCCTCCCAATGCACCACTCATTCATTTATTCCCTCCGTACTTATTGATGTCTCCTCTTCCTCAAGCCCAGTGATAGACACTAGAAACACCAATGTAAGTGATGCTGTCACTGCCCTCACATGGCCTGCAGGGCAAATTCATGGCCATCTTCTTTCCCTTCTCCGTTTCTTGGCACATTCTGTTCCCTGTACCTGGGTTGCCCTTCCCTGTCATCTCCATCTGTCAAGCTCTCTTCTTTCAGACCCCAGCTCAGATACTGCCTCTTCTGTGAACTCGCTCACATCTCTCAGAGAAGAAGAGTCAGAGACCATCCTCTGTGTCACTCCAGAATCTTGTGTGTGTCCTTCCCCAGGCCTGAGGGACACTTGGACCCATGGTCACCCCACAAGCAGTCCTCACGCTCCTCACGGGCAGAGCCAGGGACCCAGTCTTGTTCATCTTTTGTCTCCAGTGACCAGTCGTGTCTGATGCACCACTAGCACCTACGAGTGTCTGTAGAATCCTCAGTCAGTGCCGCCACAGCACAGAGAGGGACAGGACGATGAGCCTGCAGGGCTGTCATGGGGAAGAGCTGGCGCTGGGTGCACAGTGTCGGGGAGGAGCTGGGCAGGCGTGAGAGCAGGTGAGTGCAGACAAAGACAAGCCGAGTTACTGCAAGGAGGGCTTCACAGACGCGGGGGCACGGGAGCCAGGCATTGAGGACACAAGGGTCCCAGGCAGCAGGCCCCACGGGGCATCGAGGCTGAGGCGGCAGCGTGAGGCGGGCGTCTGCGGGCGGTCCTGGCTGCTTGGATGCAATGAGACAACTACAGGCGGGAGGCAGGAGAGCTGGGCAGGGGGCAGCGCAGGAGGGGCTGGGGCTGCCAGACAGAGCCTGAGATTGCGTCTGCAGGTGGAACCCGTGCAGGTTTTTGAGCAGGGAGGAACAAAGTCAGAGCCGTGTTCAGAAAGACTACTGTGGCAGCCCTGTGCACACTTCCGGCCTTCGGAGCTTGGTTGTCGAATTCAGGCCCTGCCCCTGAGAAAGGAGAGGGGTCACAGACCGACAGTCTCTGGGTGCTCAGGGCTGGACACCAGGGACAGTATTCCAGGCCGTCCCAGGGAAATGGTGGAAGAAAAAGAGGTGTGGGGTCTTCCCTGTGGGGCAGGCAAAGGCCTCCAGCCCTGAGGGCCTGAGAGAGAACCTTGGTCAGACACAACTGGGCACGGTCACTACTGAATGGGCAGGTCCCCTCAGCTGGAGGAAGAGGCCTCCATGGCCAGTCGGTGCCGCAGTGGACCCTGCTGGGGTCAGGATCAGGGACGGCGGGAACAGGGGAAGACCCTGTCACTCAGGAGGACATGCCCAGCCCTCAGTGTGGCCCAGGACTGGACAAGGAAGCGGGAGGGGGAGGGCACTTCATCCAGAGTGCAGGGACCAGCGAGCTCAGCCCTGACTCTGGGTGTCAATTTCACTGCATCCTCATCTGCATTGAGTATCACCATTTTCTATTAATAATATTCTTAGTTTCCTAGTGAAAAATGGTCTTCTACTGATTGAATTCATGTTTATGAATAACAAAAGCAAACAATTATTTCCATATGATTAAGGCTACAACATTGAATCCTTTTAATCACATCCCCATTTTAAAACATGGCACCATTTGTAGTATTTTGCTATTTCTCATTCATCAACAGGCACCATCCCTCTCTGCTTTTCCTGTGGGCTGCTCATTCCTTCACCCATAATATATTTGCTGAAAGCCAGTATGTGGAAGGCACAGTGCTAGACCCTGAGGGTACAGCAATAAACCAGACAGTCATGGTCCCTGCCTCGTGGAACTCGATATCTGGGAGAGAAGTAAGATGTTGAGCCATGTGCCTTCGTTCTCATGAGAGGGAAGTGCAGGATGCTTTGGAAGGCTCACTCTTTGGGGCTCAAGCAAAGTCCTCTTTGAGCAGCTGCAGCTTAGCCAAGACCTGATGGACAAACAGAAGTTAACAGCCTGTAGGGGTGGCTGGAGGTGGGGTGGGTTAAGGGACAGGAGAGAAGGAACGGCATAGGAGGAAGCCCCAAGGTGCAAAAGACAGTCAAGACAACGACAGGCACTCAGTTTCCGTGGACAGAGGGAATGAGGAATAGAGTGATGTAGCACAGTCTGGGAAGGTCACAGGGATGTGTCATACTTGGGCTCAAGCACCACGACTTGTCTCCAATCTGCACATCTGAAACTGGTTGCTCCTCTGGGCCAGAAATCCTCTAACGTCAGCACCCTTGCCTTCTCTCTATGTCACCTGATACTGTCTGTGTGGTTTCCAGAGGCCATGAGCGTTTCTCAAGATGCAGCCACGGGGCATGCCACCACGCACATTCCCTTTATCTCCATAATAGATTTGAATGTCTGAAACACCCGCTCTCTTGTTAGGCCCTGAGATCCTAGTACAAAAGGGAACTAAAGCACGGATGTGCCTGGAAGACATTTCATAATGTCTGGTTCTGTCAGCCAAATAGGGGGCTGTCCCTGAAGCATCTGCATAGAGCTGAGATGGGGGCTGAGGGCCGGCGTGCACTGCCTGCTGTGTCATGTGGATGAGTCTTAGGGCAGTGACTGTGCACCACGACTCTTGTTCCTCTGACCCTCAGCTATCCCTCCATGCACTCATTCTGGGGTCCTGCCCCAGCCTGTCACCTTGAGGAAAGCCCTTTTCACATCCTTGTTCCGGAGACTGTAGATGATGGGATTGAGGAAGGCAGAGATCACATTGTAGAGCAGAGCCAGCTTCTTGTCCTCTTCTGGGGAGGCCTTTGAGCCAGGCTTCATGGACATGACCATGGCTGGCACACAGAACATGGTGACCACCGTGATGTGGGAGGCACAGGTGGAGAAGGCCTTCAGCCGCCCCTGTGCTGAACGGATCTTCAAGATGGCAACAAAAATGTTGACATAAATTACAAGGATGAGGGACAGTGGGATCAGGACTACACAAAAACCAAGAATGAAGTCTACTCGGTCATTGACTGAGGTGTCCGCACAAGCCAGCTTTAAGATTGCGGGGACTTCGCAGAAGAAATGGTTGATCTTGTTGGGACCGCAGTAGGGCAGACGCATGGCAAAAAGGGTGTAGGCGAGGGCAGAGGCAACACCCCAGAGCCCACAGAAAATGACCATTGTCCCACATAGCCATGGGCTCATGATGGCCTTGTACCTGAGTGGGTGACAGATGGCCACATATCTGTCTATAGACATCATGGCAAAGAGCCAGGACTCGGTGATGCCCAGCACCAAGAAAATGTACATTTGGGCCACGCAGCTAGCAAAAGAGATTGTCTTCCTCTGGCTGGCCAGATGTGCCAACATCTGGGGCACAGTGGTAGTGGTGTAGCCCAGGTCCAACATGGAAAGGACGCCAATAAAGAAGTACATGGGAGTGTGGAGCCGTGAATCCAGGCAGATGAGGGTGGTGATCAAGCCGTTGCCCAGAATAATCAACAGGTAGATCAGCAGGAAGCCCAGGAAGAGCAGAGGAGTGGTCCTGGGGCCCACAGAGAAGCCCAGAAGGATGAATTCCGTCACAAAGGACTGGTTGGGCTCTCGCATCGTGCTCTACCTTTCAATGAAAAAGAAAGGCAGAGATTCAGACAAGGGACTGGCTAAGGAGCTGTGGCTACTGGAGGGGCTGGTAGTGGTCCTTGCCCAGTCACGATGAAACAGCATGACACCCCCAACAAGACAGTCCATCTTCCTGCTCTTACCCGCTGCCACCACTCCCGGGACGTTTGTGAAGAGGAGAGTGTCACATCTAGTACTGGCTGTGCCTGTAACCACCAGTCATTCCCCGTCACAGCCTCAGTGTCCTCAGCTGTGAAATGGAGCAGTGGGCTGGCTGGTCTCAATTCCCCTTGGCATCCTCCTCTTAGGGAGGCACCTGAGTGTCCCTCCTGTGGCCAGGTGCTTAAAGGTAAACATGGAGTGCAAACTCTATGCAAGTTGGCAGGTTTCAGAGGCCTGTGACAGAGAGAGAACCCATTTGGTCCTTTTGAAAACATCAGTTTATTTTCCCACATTAATTTTACTCTCAGTCTGTCCACAGGCCAGGGCAGTCTCTGACTACCCACCCACCCCATCTCAGGCTGTGTAATTTAGTGGCTACTGACCTTGGCATGTTCCCTTCCCCCTGCCCTGTGCAGATTGCTTGCACAAGTACAAAATGAGAGCAACTGTCTCTTGGTTACAGGTCAGCTGCAAGGAGGGAATGGCATTTTGGCATGACAGTCATCCCATAGAAGGCCTAGCATGGGGTAGGTGCTCAGTTAATGTTTACCACGTTTCTTTGTGGTCCTCCAGACAGTAGACTGGCATCCAGGTCCTGGCTGTGGGAGCAAACACCCTGAGAACTCATGCCCACCGTCCGTTCCACTGCCCTGGATGTCCACCCTCTGTTCCTTCTCCCCACGAAAGCCAGCATCACATCCACTCTTTTGGCTTCTCACTGGCCCTTTGCTCCATCTCAGCCTCACCCCTCTGAACCACCATTTCTTCACAGGAACAAGGAAAGGACATTTTCTCTGAAGAAATGTCACATGCATTGCTGTTACTTAGAGAATGGAGCAGTCCTGATGCTCTCTCAGCGTTCCTCCCCCTCTTGGCACCAATGTATCTAACCCCAATCTACGTGTCCCCCAATCTCCTCTTTCTCCTTGGAGCACCATGGATGGGTCTTCACAAGAACCTGTGTCTACGTTCCATACCTGACGTGGCTTCTTGACTTTGGCCAAAAGGACAGCACACAGTTTCACTCTCCTATGTGCCGGGCACCTTCCCAGGACCTTCACTGATGCTGCCTGACAGCTCTCAGGTGGCTGGCAGACAACTGTCTTTATTAAATCCCTGCCTTTCACCAAAGAGCCTTTGTAGGTCACGTTGTCTTTCTAGGTTTGCCTCAGTTTCCTCATCTGCATAACAGATAATGGTGCTGGGGCCAGGTGGTCTAAAGGGAGAGAAGGCGCATGGCAGGGTGGGAAGGGGACGGTCTCAGACACAGCTGGTTCTGCTTGAACCGGCTCTCACTGTGCCTTGGGCTGTTAGGTCAGTGCCTCTGTTTCCTCAGCTGTAAAAAAGGAATACAAACACCTACTTTGCAGGCCACATTCTTCATAGGAAGAAGCAAGCCAAGGATGTCAGAATATTCCACACTTGGGCCTAGACTAAAAAAATATGCTGCCATTTCTCTCCTTTTAATTTTTTACACAGATCAACAAATGGGATTTTTCTTTAGGATCTGATATTTAAGACTGTGTAGCCTGGCTGAACCACCAGGGCAGGCTGTGGTCAGGGACAAGCTATTGCAAACCAGATGCTGGTCCAGCACCAGGACTCAGGTTTCCTCACCCCTGACACCTGCACCCCGCCCTGACTGCTGAGAGTGTAGAGCAGCCCCTACGAAGTACTTGGGGACACACTGCCTGACTCTCAGGCACTGGAAGCAGAAACCCCATGTGAGGGGACAGAAGCAATGTCACCATCTACCATGACGAGCCTGGCCTCTGTGCCTCCATTTGGGCCAAAAATATAGAAGTCAGCTTTTGGGCTGTGCCTCACAAAATGCCTTGACACCCCTTCTCTCTTTGAGCCTCATGACAAGTCTGTGATAAGTACAGGGCAGGGACCATCATCCCACCTCACAGCTGGGGAAGCTGAGGCTCAGAGAGGGAATGTATGGGAGAAACCAAGTCTCCCACTTTCCTCAGCAGCAACAAGGCTTCTCCTGTGCAGCAAAGCTGAAGTTCCCAGAGCTCCACCAGTCCCAGCCATCAGTTCACTGACATGCTCTGTCCTTGTTCCTAGGAGAAAAAGGCAAGTCATGGGGCAAAGAATCTTGTGCTGGGTTTAGTTTATTATGTGTATATATGTATACAGATAAGTGCACAAACACACATGTGCACACACAGGCTCTGTCTGATCCTCCTACATCCTATCTGTCCATTGATGCCACCTCCAAAATGCCTCTCACACGTGTCCATCCCTCTCCAAATCCACTGCAATGTCCTGCTCAGACACGAGGCATCTATCTCTCACCTGGTCTCATCTCAGTCCCCCTGCCCAGCCTGTTCTCTGCACAGAGTGCTCTTTCTAAGAGTGTTCTTTCTAAGACAAAAACCAGACCAGGACATCCTCACTGGCTCCATTGTCTACAGGGAAAAGTCTAAGAGAGTCAGACCGATATCCTGGCTTCACTCTTTAAAGCCAGACTGGTTGTGGTCCCCAGGCTCCAAGGCAGGTTAGTGGGGTCGAAGCTTGATAGAGAAGATTGTCTGTTCAAGTGCTGAAACAGAAAGCATCACAGTGGCCTCAGAGGCCATCGCGACAGAGCAGACATAGAAATGGATTTGCGGTAGGAAGGAGAGGGACTCCAGGTCACAAGGGGAGTGTGTGGCAGGGTTGAGACTAGGATCCAGAGCACCGGGCTGCCAGCTGGTCAGCTCCTTGGGCTCTGTCCCTGCCCAAGGCAAGCCCAGATAACTGGGACACTCTGCGGGTCAGACACATCCCCACTGAGCAGCTGGGCTCCACTGCACACGGCCTGCTGTTTCCCGTCGTAACCTCCTTACTCAGTGCACAGCCGGGCACCTGGTAAGACCCATGAATCCTTACTGAGCCCTCCACGGCCTGGGAGACCCGGGAAGCCAGAAGCAAAGACAGAGGAGCGATTACTTTCCCTTTCTCCCTATGCTTTTATCTCTCATCCCCAGAGGTCAGGAAAGAATTGCCTGTGTGTGCAGGTCACGGGTCCCTCAGGACACACCAGGGCACAAGTCAGTTGGGGGCGGGTTGGAAGAATTGGCACTGAATGTCATGACTCTTTCCACCATGTCCCTGTCTCAGCTGATAATAATAATTTTAACAATAACAGCGTATTACTTGCCAGGCACCGTAGTGTGTGATTTACATTCAGGATTCTATTTTATCCCCATAACTGGGGCAATAGGGAGAGATTTTACAGCAACTACAGGCACTGTCCAATCAGATCAGACACGTGCCGCATGAAACAGGTAAAGCTGTACCAGGACCCTGGGCATAGGCACCCTGTGAGTGGGGACTGTTACTGTACCCACTTTGCAGATAAGGAAAGCAGTGACACACTCATCCCAGGCCACAGCCGTGGCTGACACACAGCCTGTACTCATCACCACTAGGCAGCGCAGACTCTCTGCCCGACTGTGGCAAGGACGTGGTCGGGCGGAGCGGCTTGCAGACAGGTCCTCTCCGCCCCACACCACGTACTCGCTCACTCCCCGCCTCCTCCAGGACAGAGCTGAGTGACAGGGCGCAGGAGGACCTGGAGTCATGGCCAGATGCAGGACGAGTGAAGCTGGGGCAGGCAGCTGACTGGGGCAGGCAGCTGATGGAGCCCTGCAGATGGGGGAGGGGACATAGCCAGCCTTGTTCCTAAGGCCGCTTATGCACCCTGCAGCCTCCCGGAGCATCTTCAGGGAATGATGCTGCTCCAGGCCACAGTCCTCCAAATCTGGTCCTCCCCTGCAGGGTGAGGAGGGCAAGCCCAGTGCTCTACAGATCCTCCGTGCCTGGGAGGGGCCTGCACCCAGGACTGCTGGGGCTGGGCAGGAATCCTGAACCAGCAGGCTCAGAATTGTACTCCCGTGTGCTCTGGGTTGCAGGGCCCTCCCTGAGCCCTCAGCAACACCCGGGATCTCACAGTCTGCTCTGGACAACATCAGAGATTCATCAAGCCTGGGTCTGAAGGCTGTCCTGACATTGGTGACTAGGACACCCAGCTTCTCTGCAGCCTCCCTGGCAAGGATGCTCCAGTGCTGTTCACATAGCCCGGGAGGCTCACTCTCTCAAGACAGCTTAGGCGGCTGAGACTCTGCCCTGCATAAACCTTTCCTGTGCCAGCTAAAAGCCAGAGCTGGTCCCTTCTGAGGTTGATGGTGAGTTCCCTAAAGCACCCTGTGCCAATGCTCTGCTCCTCCCCCTCCCTGCCACCCACATCCCCTCTCCTCCAGAGTCCCAGCCTGTGTTACACTGCAGTGGTCCTTACCTGCCTCACCTTTCCTTAGGACAGGATATGGGGCTGCCCAGGTCGCTGATCTCTTCTAATACACCCTTGTCGTCCTGATCCCGCCCATCATCCCCAAGCTGGACCCCTGCTTCCTGTCAAGATCTCCAGTGCCAGACAGCAGCCCCAGCAGACACTCCCTGCTGACAGCCATGGATCACCCCGTCCCTCTGCTCAGCAGCCAAGGGCCCCAAAGAACATCCTCTGGGGAAGTCACTGGTGCAGCAGGAGACCAAGGGATTTGTAGTCAGATAGACTTGGTCACTGTGACCTAGGCAAGTCACGTAGCTTCCCAGAGCCTGCCTTTCCCCTGTACAACGGAGCTGTGTTCCCTTATTATAATCACACTGGCATTTAATTGGTGTTTTTTTAGTGATTATTATGGGCCGGGCATGTGATATGTACTATTAACAAATCCTTGCAGCATTGTGATCCCCATTTTACAGAGACAGAAATGGAGCTTGCAGCAGTAAGTAGCCTATGCAAAGCTGGGATTATGACCACAGTTTTTTCTGAACAC